GATGTCGAGGCCCAGAATCTGAGAAGTTAAGGAGTCTGAAGGAGTCTCTCTGTTTGGATGCCATGTGACCCACGTGACTCTCTGTTTGGATGCCATGTGACCCACGTGACCCACGTGACTCTGCTCAGTCTGTTCAGAGTCTGAAGCCTTCTAACCCACGTGACATGTGGAAAGGGGCGTACAGAGTCGTAACTGTTGTCGCACAGTTTGGTGGCAATGGCAATGGCATATAGTAGTATAAGCCACAGCGGGAGTGAACTTCAAGGGGAAGAAAACGTAATCGGGCTTAAGAGCACTGCGCAGAAGCCCGCAGGGCAACAGCCTGGCAAAACAATCGTTCTGCTGTACGTTCTCGTGGCCCTTGTAGTGGTTGGTGGGGTGGTTATTGCCGTTGGCATTGTTCAGTCGGGCAAGGGGGGTGGTGACGAAAGCAGAGGTCGGACGGAGACTACATGGGGTGAAGGCAGCGCTGATGATGATGATGATGCTCATCAGGGAACCAGCGGAGACGTGGTTTTGAAAAAGGGCCCAAACAGTGTGGTCTTGTCTAATGGCATTGTGGCCGTTGAATTCAGCAAAAGCGGCCTTATAATCGGTATATCATATTCCAATATCGGCAATCTGTTTGAGCAAGCCAGGAGTCCTGCATGGATGGGAGACTCTGCGGAGTCAGATGGTGGTGAGGAGGATGATAGCGAGAGCGCCCACTTTGTAGTGATGGATTGGCTTCCTGGTGACATTGCTCCACCAGAGGAGCCAGACACTGCGCCTTATGATGCTTCAGTCAATTACACTACTACTACTACTAGTAGTAGTAGTAGGGGCAACTCAAGCTGGTCCATTGATGACTTCCCAGAGAGCCTAGGGAGTGATCATTTCCTTATCAACGATGAGTGTCTTTACGATGATGATGCAAATTCCTCCTCAGGGTCTGCCCAAATGCCCCCATTAGATGTTTCTGCATCGATGCCGGGGCGGCGTGCGAGGACAGGTGGCGATCCTCAGAAGCGCAGGCCACCAAGGCGCTCTCATCTGGGATACTATGACATGGTTTGGGCTGATTGCAATGTCGTGCGTCCCAAACATGGATGTGCGAAATACGAAAGGTTCGGAGCGGATGAGTACCGCAGAATCACTTCTGAGTCAAATACGGACCACGTGGAGATATCCTTTGTGCAGCTCCCAGGGAAAGGGGGGCAAGGGGCTCCGGTGACAATAGACATGCGATATGTAATGAGGCGGGGCGAGTCCGGTTTCTACAGCTACCTCATCATTGACCATGAGAAGGGAAAACCAGAGATCCACATCGGGGAGCTGCGACTTGTCTTGCGGCTGCGTCCTGACATATTCACATATGCCGCATTGGCCGACAACCGGCGGCGGACCATGCCACAGCCGGGCGATCTGTCGGCGGCGCGCAGTTCCCCGTTAGAGTTCAAGGAGGCTCGGCTCTTAACGAATCCGGTGAACCCCGATTTCAAGAACGAGTACGATCATAAGTACCATTACTCAGCAGACATAAAGGACATGATTGTGCATGGTTGGGTTGCCCCGAGTGCCGACCCTGCAGTGGGGATCTGGATGATCAGTCCCAGCCGCATGGAGTACATGGGGGGTGGGCCAGAGAAGCAGGACCTCACAGTTCAAGTGGGGCCGATCATACTCAACATGCTTCATTCTGGTCATTACGGGACACCGGCGGTTTTCGTTGCAGCCGACCAGGTGTGGAGAAAGACCTATGGCCCTTATTTCATATATCTGAACGGAGCGTCCGAGTCTGTCTGCTCTGGCGTAAAGGCAGACCGTATTACAGACTGCTTGTGGGAGGATGCCTCCTCCCGTGCAGCTGTTGAAGAAAAGGCCTGGCCGTACGATTGGGCCACGTCCTCGGACTATCCCAGCAAAGGCTCTCGGGGGTCCGTTTCCGGGCTAGTGAAAGTAGAAGACCCCGATTGGAATGCCTCGCAGTCCCCTTTTCGTGCGGGTAAGCCAGGCAATTCCTGGGTCGGCCTTGCCGCCGAAGGACCGGCTGGAACATGGGCTGTCAATTCCAATGGGTATCAGTATTGGTCCCAGATCGAGGGCGACGGCCATTTCCTGATCCCGAACGTGAGGCCGGGATCGTACTCCCTTTTCTCATATGTAGGTGGGGTGGTCGGCGACCATGTGCTTCAACAGAAGGTGGTCGTTGGCAGCGAGGGTGATAAGAACCTTGACGTAGGAACAAAAGTTGTCCGCCCCCCTCGGAAAGGTCCTACCATCTGGTCCATTGGCGTCCCCGACCGGTCGTTCGGTGAGTTCTTTGTTCCTGTGCTCAATCCAAGAAGCCCGTGGCCTTACCCAAGCACGGGTCCGGACCGATGGAGAAATTATGGAGCTTGGCTGACGTATAAAGAGTCGTATCCGGAGAGTGATCCTGTCTTTGACATTGGCAGCAGCGACTTCTCACGGGACTGGTACTTCGTGCAGTGCCTAAGGCCCAGGCCCCAGGAGAGGGGCAAGAGATCCACACAACGGGGGAGCCCCTATTTACCTACTGTTCGTCGTATCAACTTCGATCTGGAAGATCCGTGGCCAGGTGCAACGTACACTCTGCGTATGGCCATTGCTGGGGCCCATCATGGTGCTATTGGGGTGGCGATAAATAGGCCTTCGAACACCCCGTATGATTTCCGGACGCCTGCGGGAGGAAGAGACAATGCCATGGCTCGTGCATCAGACCATGGTCAGTACTTGCAATACGAGGTCGGCATTCCGGGCTCGAAGCTCCTTCATGGCCGGAACACGATTTACCTCACACTGGATTCGGTGGATGGTCGTTATAACTATGTCGGGTATGACTTCATCAGGCTTGAGGGTCCAGGCTAATGAGGTTCGGAAATTTAAATTTAAAGTGGGACATTCAAAAAAAAAAAGAAGAAGATGACATGATGTATCTGAGATGAATTGACGCCCTGATAACTAACATTGAAAAAAAAAAGAAAAAGAAATAAAGGGGTCGAAAGGGGGGGTTTCAGAAAGGGAATATTGTCGTTGTACCCGGCTTAATTGGCGTTTTCTGCTGTACCTAGAACCAAAGCCAAACCGTGCTAGTATGCCGATTGTTGCTGTGCATGATGGCTATCATTTGGGACAATGCTATAGCCTACTGGAACCATAAAATTGTGGAAACGATCACCATCCCAGTGGGCTGAACACCTTGTCATTATATGCCACTACCAGGTCTCATGAATTGTTGGCTTGGCATATTATGCAGGTGTGCTCCCTGGCCTCCCTCTCTCTCACACGGGCATCTGCGCATGTGTGTGTGTGTGTGTGTGTGTGTGTGTGTGTGTGTGTGTGTGTGTGTGTG